ACGAATGATATTTGCTGTGGATCGTTGTATTGTGTATACATTACTTACGAGAGGACTGCATTATCCAGGAAGCGTAGCGTAGCGAAAAATTTCAGATATTGACGGGAGTTCAAAGGGTCGATCAACTCGATAATCCCCATGCTTTGAATTTGAAAGAAACCATTTAAATTGTAAATAACTGACCCAGATTCCGTCGAGCGTGTGAGACGCGCTTTATGGAGAATCCCTTCGGTCCCTTCAATCACCCAGATTAAAATTCATTGACGGCTATACTCGCAAAATATCTACCGCCGTTGTAATAAAGATCCCATCTTGATAGCCGAAAAGCAATCATTAACGCTCGTATAATTTTTTTCAAATTATTTATTTGGGTAATTTTAAAATTAATACAGTAGCGAATATTTATAGTTATATCGTTATATTTGTACATCTCTGACTTTTTTTTATATAGCAACGGCCATATTTTTTCTTGCTTTTTTATAAAATATGAAAAAGCATCAATTACACACACAATCTTAATTGCCCCAAAGCTGAAATTGCATTTTTAGCTTTGGGAAATTACATGTTTTGCGTCCCCCGCCATGCTTCTTGAATTTTGCATCACACACGCGTGTATGTACATACCAATGCAATTTTCAAGCCTAAAAACTATTTGCATGACGTGTTTAGCGTCGGGAAACGGTATCCCTTAAAAGGCAGGGGGAAGGGGGAGAGTTCCGGAGGATCCGAGGGAAGCAAGGGGTCGAAGGGGATTCAACCGGGGAAAAGCGTAGGCCGGGCTGGAGTGGCACCCACTTCTCGCTGAGATATGCATGAGCTGGCTGAAGTTACGCGCTACAACTACGCTGCTTACATAATATAAACTCCCGCGGGGTCATCCTCGGCTGGCGGCACCCAGACACACTTACCGTCGTCGCGGATGGAGGGCGGTCCGACGATCACGAAAGACGGGAGGCCAATCTTTCATTAATCTTTCATGCGCGATATTTTATTGAGAATTGTTGTGATGCGTAGGTACTTGTCGTTTAAAACCGCGACGACCGATCGTCGCAGTCTCGAAATCTTCAGATCGGATATTGTTCGCTTGTTAGAGGAAATCGAAATACAAACTTCACTATTAAAATAGTATCAAATTATACTCCAGTTTGAGTCGTTTTTAATTATACTCTGTAGGTCGCCAAGTGCTGACCATTGGATTCAAATCCACCTAGAATAATACAACTCTAAATCGGTTTTAATCGATTTGGAAGCGATCGCCACTTGTCGGAAGGCAAAGACCACCGGCGAAAATACGCAAAGAAATGTGGATAGATACAAAAAAAACATGAAAAATCAAAAAAAGTTTTGCAATTATACAGTTTTCTGTTATCGCCTAGGTGATTTCTTCATGATATACCTAAATGATTCAAAGTATATAATCAAAATATAATCATAATATCTATCCACGCATTTGTACAACATATACTTAAGAATATTCCTTGAGTTTACGATTTTGTAGTTTAAAAAAAAATGTTTAGTCATTTCTATAATTAAAAATTTAATACTTTATTAAACTGCATTTTTATAAAGGTCATCATACTCATCATTATGAGGCCGCATTTTGTAGCTCGGAACGTGCCAATGCAATATCGTATTGATACAGATTAAAGAACATTTATAACGGCAATAAAGCGCACGCCTTGTACATACCTACATACATATACGCGAAACTATAAACTGCCGACAGTCCCGCAAAGTTACGACCGACCATCGCGTCGGCGGCAGCGGCGGCGACGACGACGACGACGGCGGTGGTAACGATTGAATCCTCGCGGGATGAGCTGCCCGAATGATGGGCAACTTTTGGCTTTTCTCCGACGATACACCGGAGAATTTTCTAACGGTTCGTTAAGTTCATATGTACACACCGTAAACACGCCGCGCGACTTACGTGCTCCGCCGGAGTGCTTCCTTCCTCCATCGTGGCGTCACGGCTTTTATCCGTCTTGCTATCGTATCCAACATGCGGCAAATATTTATCATCGCGTTGTTGCGGAGTTGTTACGAGCAGTGCGAGATGGTCCCGCGACGTGAGATGCGAGAGAGATTCCCGGTCAATATCATGAGTATTAATACCTCAATATGATATGCGACACGACACGATTATCACGACAGGATCGATTCTAATAATGCCGTTATATCTCGCGTTAATGGACCATTAATGCATCTTCGTACTTTCGAGCATGTAAATTTATAATGCATAGAATAATAGTATTCGCCGCGCTGGAATTGTAGTGTAGAGTAGACAATCGAATAACGTAATTGGTGCGGAAAACCGAGCTTTTACTTTATTATCTATATTAGACAGAGAATTTTACATTTTTTATTGAAATGACAGAGAAAGAGCAGACATTTGATCGAAATGTAAAAATATGCGTTTCATAATTTTAAGATAATTTTTAAGATAATTATGTGAAATCAGAGAAAAAAGATAGAGATAATCTTAATCTGCTTCATTTTTATCCGAGACGACAATAACACGTTACTAACGTCATTAATATTATTACTTTTTTATGGAAACGATTTGACAATGATATTTAATAACAAATATAATTATAATTACAATTTTTATTTTGTTATAATAATTATAATTACTATTACAATTATAATTACAATTTTTATTTTGTCATAATAATTATAATTACTATTACAATTATAATTACAATTTTTATTTTTATTTTTATTTTTTTTTACTTAAGTAATGGTAATAGTGTTACAAAATAACACATTACTGGTTTTTTTTTCAATGTCCTTGAAATTTTCTATATTGTACATATCTCTAACGAGAAACAGGGAGAGATACCGAGAATTACATAACGTGAGGTAATCGTGATTCGTAATCTCATAACTGTAAATTACAATTATTGCCGCTACCACTGGGCACAAATTATGGAGATACCATTACGTATTGCGTTTATTACTCGCACCGCCACGCTCGTGCACGGTTTGTTCGAAATCGCAGCATACCATTAATGAAAGCGATTCGTGCTTTTAAGGCTCGATAAACCAGCTTGTTATCGTCAGAATTGCAAAATATTGTATTGTTGCACAAGAATTTCCTTGTATTGTAATTTCACAAGAGTATTTTCTGAAATTAAACAAAATATGTATAATGTATTTATGAAATTAAATTACGTACGTACGAGATTTGCTTGAAATGTTTCTTAAGTGACATACATAAAGCATGTTTATTATAATTACATCTTTTATTATAATTTTGAGCTTAAATAATTTCAGCCATCATAAAATGAGGAGAGCGTTGCTGAATGCATCTAAATCGTATCTTATTAAAATATTTTATATAATTTATATTATTAATTAATACAATCAACCTTTAATGACAAAAAACGTTTCATATTTTTTCATAAGTATTTCATATTTTATCAGGGTATTAGGTATCAGGGTACTATCAGAGAAAAATCGGGAAACCTGGAATTCTCAGGGAATTTCATTTTTACCTTTGAAAATTATGAATTCTCATGGAATTTTACTGGTACTCAGAGAAATTTTTTGAATTTTACTTTTAAATTTAATTTTATCTCTTTACAAGTAAACGTGGTCTCATATCGAAGGCCCCTGATATTGAAAGTTAATTTATTTTAAAATTGACATATATTATATAAAGACTCTTTAAAATCTAAAAAACGATAATCCGGATATAATAAATTATATCAGACATTAAGAGTCTAATAACGCAGAACTTGGTGCGTGAAACAATTTAATCTTCACATATGTAGTTACATTTCCATACAAAATCTTTCGATACGTTTGAAAAATTTTGTATGGAAATGTAACTATTGTACATATGAGAAGATTAAATTGTTTTATGCATCAAGTTCTATACGTTATTAAAACTCTTAGTGCCTAATTTATTTTAAAGCTGTATTGAGAAATTCTCTAATTTTACCTGGAATTTTGGATAAAATTCCTGGAAAATCCGGGAATTTTCAGGGAATTCTTTTACAAAATTTGATTACTCAACCTGTTCATATTTTTGTCACTAAACGTTGATTATATTAAGCAATAATATAAAATATTGATAAGGTACGCGTTCAGCAACTCTTCTTTATATATGTATAAATGTTTTCAAATCAATCTGTCAAATAGTTCGTATTTAACAGCGCTTTAAAGTTATTGCGTTTGACATTTCTAGAAAAATGAGAAGAATTTAAATTCAAACAAGTTCTTCTTTTTGAAAAGTAAAACTGCTAACTCGCCAAGAACATCGTAGAACTCGGATTTTGTCCCGGTAGCCATTTTACTTTTCAAAATGAAGAATTTTATCATCGCTCGAATTTCAATTCCTTCCATTTTTCTAGAAATGTCAGGCATAAACAACAACTCTGAACAACTTTGATATCAAATACAAATTACTTGAGAAATTAACTTGAAATATTTATGTTAATCTCATGATAAAAGAAAAATCATTTATTGAAAGATTACGCTATTTATGTTCCTTATAAAACATCTAAAAAATGATCCTCGTAATTCCTCTGCACAAATGGAGGAAAATTGATTATTGCAGGTATACGTTTATAAAATTTATGTGGCAAATCTGCACGGAAAGGACGATTTTGCTGGAAGATTCTAAAATTTAGCTGGATATAAAAAATAATTACTTGCGAGGCTGACATACTTTTTTGTTATTTTACTTATTTATAATCTAAAGCTGTTTATTTCTTATATGCAAATAATTATGTAGAAAACTCAAACTGCGATTGCTAGAATGTCAACATTTTTAGCAGCGTATTGCTCATAAATATTGGACTTCCAACAATCATTTTGACGGTCAAACAAAATTATTTTTAAATTTGTAACCAGCTAAATTTTAGGATCTTTCAGCAAAATCGTTCTGTCCGCGTGTCGAAACGAAAGCTTTGAGATTCAACTGTCTATATATTTAATTATCTCTGTAATGAAATTATTACATAAGAGATAACGTTGGCACCTTTTGCTTTCAGGTCGGGCGGTTGATGCCTGATGGCGCGGGCTGGAACGCAACGCTGGAGAAATCCTGCTCCAGAGTAAGTAGAGACTCTTGATTCACGGTGGGAATAAGCATGCGGCGCGCTATATTATGCATAGCCGACAGCGTGCCGCTACCGCAACGGTTCTCAAACCGAAGATTTCAAACGAATGCGCGGGCAAAAGAAAAACCGGCTGGAAAATAAAAGGCTGGAATTAAGGGTGGAAGAAAAAAACGGAGAGATGAAATGCACGTTACCGTGCGCGCGGAAAGCACCGCTTATCTCGAGATCGCACTCACCACTTGGCCGCTTTGCTCTCATTTCGAATCCTTTGCGGTGGATTCTCTCTCTGTGCCGAGATGTATTTCGCGAAACATTGCCACGCTGGCAAAAAAAAAACGCGTATTTTCAAACTGCTGACAAACAAACGGCACTTCCGGCGAGCGGCGATTTTTGCGTGATGCGATTCGGAAACTTCTCACCGGGCGCCACTTCGCGTTCAGAGAATTCGACAGGAATGGGAGAAGAGAGAGAGAGAGAGAGGGAGAGAGAGAGAGCAATGGTAGAAACTTCTCGCCACCGATGGATTTGAATAAAGTCGAGGGGAATACTTCTCTCCCCTCGAAGTTTTCTCGAAGCCCGCTTCGTTCCCTGAAACCGATGTCCGCGAGCCCCTTTCTCGTCTCCTCTCGACTCTTTCTTCTTCCCGCGGAGATGAAAGCTACCGCGTAGATGGATCCGACCGCCATAATGGAACGTAACTTCTCGGTCGACTCTTAAATCGAAGATTTTATTAATCGCGGAAAACTCGAATAATTCTAAGGAGAGACGTCGGCCTCCGTGTTTTTCGTCAGGATTGGATTCTTGGCCTCTCCATCACGTTAGAATGGCAGTCCCTTGAAGTCTCGCTTTAATTGCTCTCGGTACGAGATGTATAGCATGTTTGAATTAAAATTTTTCTCATTTTTCTAGAAATGTCAAACGCAATAACTTTGAAGCCCTGTTAAATACAAACTACTTGACAGATTGACTTGAAAACGTTTACATATAGGGAAGAGTTGCTGAGCACGTACCATATCAATAATTTATATTATTGCTTGATGATATAATCAACATTTAGAGACAAAAATATGAAATATGAAATATGAAATACTTATGAAAATATAAAATGTTTTTGTCGTTAAAGGTTGTATTAATTAATAATATAAATTATATAAAATATTTTAATGAGGTACGATTTAGGTGCATTCAGCAACTCTCTCCTACATTCATTTTATAACGACTGAAATTATTTGAGCATAAAATTCTATAAAAGGTCACGCCTTCTGTATGTTACTTAAGAATTTCAAGCAAATCTCGTATATATGTAATAATTTAATTTCACAAATACATTATACATTTTTTTTTTTAAATTTCAGAAAATACTCTTGTGAAATTACAATACAAAGAAATTCTTGTTCAACAACAATACAATATTTTGCAATGGAAAAACTCAAATAATTCTATAAGGAGAGACGTCGGTCTCCGTGTTTTTGCATCAGGATTGCACTTGGTCTCTCTCTATCACGTTAAAATGACATTCCCTTGAAGTCTCGCTTTAATTGCTCTCGGTACGAGACATACAGCTGACGCCGTGGTGCCGATCGATTATATAACGAATCGAGACGTTGCGCAGTTAATCGTTAAACGCGACAGATGGAGGATTATCTAATCCGAATGGGTAACGCGGACGCGAATGGGTAAAACGTAATCAGCTGCGAGTTAAACTTTATAACGGGCAAAATCCGCCCGGATAATCGTGGATACGCGCGGGCGATTCTCCTTCGGAAATTCTCTGTCTCGTTAAAGCAGAGGAACGTAGACAGAAGAATAATTTCGCTTTGCTTGTTACACGAAATGACGGCCGCGGGGTCAAGAAGGGGTATTCCGCGCGGTCGGCGGATTCAGTTTGTACCTACGTGTAACCGAGGCTCTCTCTCTTTCTCTCTCTATCTCTTTGTGACCGGTTTGCTCGAAGGTTCAGAAGATTGCCTCGGTTCGTGCCGAAGGATCCGATGTGTATACTCGCGGTGTTGCCCGCCGCTTCGCTGAACGCCGCCGCGCCGTGCCGGCCGGTCTTCAGGCTCGATAGGGCAGACCGGAACCACACGGAGCTCCGGGTATCTTTGATCAAAAGACGCTCCTCGATTGGATGCTGCAGCGTGATTCCGATGGTGAATAATTGAGAAGCGAGCTCTCGAGAAATTTTCCCGCGCGCGTCCAACGCGATCGTTCCGTCGAGATCGCGCGCGCCAATCGAAGTATCGAGTGTTGAATTTCTTTCGATATCGCGAGCGACTTGCGCAGAATATCGTATGTTATACGGTGCGCCTCAAGTGCGCCGATAATCTCGTGGAGTTTCATGGAATTATGTTTTTTTCCCTGCAGGACAAAAAACCTGAAGGATATTCGTGCACAATCGCCTCCTCTTCTCATGTAAATCTGGAAAATCGTACTTCTCGTCACTTTTCCTCTCGTACCCCGCGTGAGACGCGCGATTGAATGGCAAAAATCGTATCATACTCGTGAGCCTCTTACTATACGCGGCTCACCCTTTGCAGTTTTGCCGCCGGCAGGGAATGTAAACCGTCCGAGACGTAAAAGGACGTCAGAGACGAGCGCCAGGTGAAGGGGTTGATTTCGAACACGCGCTACTTTTTTGCGACGTCCGTGTCGTGAAAAAGTTTTTTCTTGTCAGACTCGTTATGCACCCCTTATACGACATTCAAGCCGACGAAAGAGAGTAAACAAAATTCTCAAAAGTAAAATTATATCGGGCTTTTGATTTTATATAGGCAGAATTTAATTATTGCAAACTGTAAATATACAGTCCGACACAATTATTATAGACGCATCTTGAATTTTTTGATAGAGTCATCTTGAATGTCCAGCAAACAATTTTTATTTTTACATATAAAGTATTATATTATTTTTATTTTTGCATATAAAGTATTATATTATTTTTACATATAAAATATTACATTATTATTATATACATTATTATATACATTAAATTATTTTTACATCTAAAGTAGGGTTTTCTCTTTTGTTTGGACATTCTCAATTAATAAAGTACAGTTTTGGTAGCATTTATCGAATATTTATTTATTTTTATGAAATAAACAAAAGTGTATATTTTTTAAATATTTTGTTAAGTCACTTCTGTGATTATTAGATTCTTGATACTTTTTGGTTATTAATACATGCTTGTTTAAATAGATAATGTTTATGAATTAAGCTTTACTATAACAAATAAACAATACAAAATACGTATGCTCCTTTTGGCTATCGCCTTTACAATTGCTAACAGGTTTCATATTTGTTCATGAACATCGTAAGTGACAAGTGAATTAGAACAAATGCATCCATTTTATGGATTTACACAACTATTTTTCTTTACATTTTTCAATCGATTACAACAGTAATAAATGAATCATAATATACGTAAATCTAGTTTTTGGAACTTATTTTGGAATTAATAAATTGTATAAAATATGGTATATATTATACATCTAATAATAGTCTGTATGTCTGAGGCTAGAGACAGTAAAATAGAGAATGGATTCAAGTAATATGTAAAATGTTATTAAAAATATTTTTTGAAAATATTCAAGCTTTCAAAAATTGAATAGCGTTTAAAAAACAGACTTTATATTCCAGGTAATATGACGTTTCTTAAACCCATCATAAGCCTTGCGAAACTTATCGTTCTCATAATAATACAACTCGATATTCAATAATATGACCAGGGGCGGTATATGACATCTCAGAACCATTGATAAATCTTGACGATCTTTGATTTAGCATCGAGTCGATTGTTTCTTAATTAAAACGTCAAGGCATCTCCAGAAGCCTTTTTCAATTTAGAAACGATCGGGATAAAAGGTTTTTTCCGCAAATTAATATTCACCTGTACTCGCACGCTCGTAATAAAAATTGTACATCGAACGAAATAACGTATCGACGTTCGATTTCGCGTTTCAACCGTGATACGACGATCTCGTTCCTTTCACGTTCGTTCTTTTTCCTCACCTCGGATTCTCTTTGTATCGTTCCGATTACAGAGAACAGAGGCTACTTCGATGTCTCGTTAGTCGACGGCTCTAAAACGGGGACGACTGACAGGAAGGAAAGAAGGAACAGAACCAGAGAGAGATTGGATTTTCTTCCTTTCTTCCGCGCGACGCCGATTAATGCGATCCACGAACCGAATTAATCGTCGTTACTTCCACGTAGCATGGCGCAGGCATAACCGCAGACCAATTAGCTACTTACAAGGCACTTACAAGGGAACGTTTTATATTGCAAAAGTGATATCAAGAAATTAACGTTACTCGGAATATCATCTTTGAAATACGTATTCTAGGCGATTAAATCTTGGGATTCTATATATGGATTCTGTATCCGACTTAGGCTGAAACATGTTTGACCATTTTAACATAGACATCAAAATGTCACAAAAACAATTTTTGAAAAAAAATGTTTCAAATAAAATTGTAAAGTTCGAAGGGGAGATTATTAAATGATGTACTTAGATTTTGGGTCCAGGACTCACTTTCGGCCCAAGGTTGAGTTGCTCGATAGAAATGCTTGCTTAGCGGGGCTTGACATCAATCGGAGATTTTGGATTGGATAATATATATCCAGAAATATCCGGGGCTGTTGCGCGATACACTGATCATCGTCGGTACGCAACGTCGACCGCGAATCTTTTCACGTCCGTTCCAGTTTCCCGCCGACCGTCCACTTCGCGATGCTGTCCATCGGTAAAAAGCTCTCTCGCCGTGTGTAACTCCCGGATGCGCGCCGAAGATGCGCTCTCCGAAAGATTGACTCCGGCGTGCGCGGGATTACAAAGTATTACGAGAGACGCGCGAAAATCTGACGCTTTTCACTCTGGTTCCTTTTTTTAGTAATTCCAGTTTCATCGTTATATTGGAACTTTTGTGCGCTAAGCGATGTGTTAAAAAAATTTGCGTTACCTGTGTTGACTTTCTGGCTTTCTGTGTTGATTTTCT